ACAAGATTTGAGATTAAAAATCTAGAGAGAATTGGAAAGATCTAAGCTCAGAAGTAAGTTCTTTAGCTTCTCTAACCCCTCTCTTGAATTTAAGGGTGATTCCATCACAATTGTATAACCTAGAATTGGAACATGCTTTTAAATTTGATGATTTTGAACTAAGTTGATTATGCATAGATGTGGAGAAATTGTCTTTTGTTTCTTACCGTTTCATGAGAATCATGAAGAACTCACTATATATACATATATGTGATGTTGAATGCATAAGAAAATTAAGTTATGTTTGCGAATCAAGGATCTAATTTATGTCTAGATTGATGTATATGTATTTGGAGATCCTATTAACATGAGTTTTAGGCTATGTTCTATTAATTAAACGTGCTAATTTGAGCTTGATAAAGTGTCCCAAAAGAATGTGATTTTGAAGCAAAATCCGGGCAGAAATTGCAGAACCGCCGCACGTGCGGGAGTCACTACCGCACGTGCGGGAGCCAATCGCCGCACGTGCGGGGGTTGTGGCCATGCATGCGGGAGAAGAACAAAATTGGAGTTTTGATTCTGCCTAAAAGGCACGTGCGGGACTAGCCGCCGCACGTGCGGCACATGTTGAAAAATATGAGTTGCTCCGTTTTGCGTGTAGGACCCTCTAATGTTGTCGAAATGTATATTTGATGCCTTCTCAATATTGATAAATTCCTTCAAAGGAAAGTGGAATATGACGTAATTTGATAAGGGAAATGAGCTAATATGTAAGTTTGAATGTGTGCAGGGCACACTTCAGGAGGAACAAGCACGTCGTTACAACACTGTGAGTAGCAGTACCGTTATATTCTTCAAATGTAGCTAATGATTGTCATAAGTATTATGTTCATGCTTAAAATGCAACTATGTTATGTTTCACAATATGTGAAGAAACAAATGGGAAAGCTGAAAAACATTCATTCAGTAAGACTCTGAAACCAAGTTACTCGGTTATTGTAATATGAAACAAAGTGCTACGCGGAACTAAGTGCTACAATGTGAGCCACCTCTAGAGTCCGTGTGAGACAGCTTTTGAGTTCATACAAGCATGCTCAAGGGCTTAATGCCAACTTACTCAAGGGCCTCGTGCCACTATGTTCAAGGGCTTAACGCCACCATGTTTAAGGGCTTCGTGTCATTACGTTTAAGGGCTTATAGCCATCATGTTTCAAGATATCATGAGGCAAGCTACCATGTTTCAAGAATGAGCCAAGACCGTCATGAAATTAATACAGATTCAGACCAACTATGTGTGCACCTTTTTATGCTTTAATGTATCTATTACAAGTCAAGCCTTATTTTATCTATGTATTACTATTCACTGAGCTTGGCTCACTCTGTGTTATGTCTGTCTCTGTAGGTAACCAACCCGGTGGTCAGTCCTAGCCCTGACGCCCGTTTTCTTTTGTCAACCTTCGTGGGTCCAGGCACTGTATGAAGCCATTTATTTTTGTAAAGTTTGTTAAGATATTGGCTTACCTTTGATTACCCCTTTAAGGTTGAATGTATAGAACTTCAATGATTTTCGTATAAGCCCATGATGGGGCTGGGACTGTATGTATGGTTTCATATAACCGATGCTACGAGGTATAGTTTGGAACTTTATCTATTTTCTATAGTGCTTGTGATGCATGTGAAGTCCTGGCATGTAGATATAGCTCAATGGAGATTATATGTATCGTTATTTTCTTATTATATGCTTTCGATAAGGCCCCGTATATTATATACAACAGGTTAAGTGTTTGTTTTCGAACTGGTCATGCCCAAACTTGTAGGGCCAGGTTTCGGGGGTGTGACAAGTGGTATCAGAGCACGAGTTTCCATCTCACACACGGATCCATTGGGCTTTAGGGTGTCTAGAAAAGCTTTAGGCATCTTGCATCATACCCTGAAGGTATATGAAAGAGTGATGGCAACATTAAGTATACTCTGATAATGCTAATACTTTTGAAATATGTCTATTGTATATAATGATTGTTGTGTAGGCTATGGTGAGGACAAGGACAAAAGATGCGGAAGAAGCTACGTCTACACGGTTGGATAGGATGGAGAGAATGATCATGGAAATGGTGGAAACATTACGACAACAAAAGCAACAGCCCCAACAACAACCGCCACCACAACCGATACCTCCACCTATGGTCCAAGATTTTCATGCTGAAGACCGGACCATTTCCCTCACTAAGGAGTTTAAAAAGATGAAGCCGCCATCCTTCAAAGGAGGAATAGAGCCAATGAAAGCAGAGGCATGGGTGTTAGGAATAGAGAAGTTATTTGAAGTTTTTCCTTGCACCGAAGCTCAAAAGGTGCAACTGGCTGCCTTTACTCTTGAAGATAAGGCGCGGAGGTGGTGGATGCTTACGAGAACTATGCATCAAGAGTTGACATGGGAGAGGTTCTTGGAATTGTTTTATGATAAGTACTTCCCTCAAAGTATACGAGATAAGAAGGAAACTGAATTTGAGACTCTCCGACAAGGGAATAAGACCGTTGCTGAGTATAAAGCCCAATTTGCGGAAGTAGCCCGATTCGTGCCTCATATGGTAGACACAGATTATAAGAAGGCACGGAAGTTTGAAGGGGGACTACGGGGTGCTATTCTGGACAAGGTCAATATGCTGAAACTACCCACTTATGTCGATGTGTTGGAGAGGGCAGTCATAGCAGAATGAAACCTCGCTAATCAAAACCGAATCTCTGAATGGAAAGGAAATAGACAGAATATCCAATGGTCAAAGGGGAAAATTACTCCACCAAACAAAAAACAAAATTCAGGGACTTCGACTACTTCTACCCCCAGTCAAGGTTCGATTCCCATATGTTCAGAGTGTGGAAAGAGGCATCGAGAAACGTGTTATCGGGGGCCTGAAGCTTTTTTTCACTGTGGAAAAACAGGTCATGTGATAAGGGATTGCCCTCAGAGGAAGCAGCAACAAAATGGCAATAGGACTGCTACCAGTTCAGCAAGGTCTACACCACCTACCAACACTAAGTCAGCTGCCAAGCCTACTAATAATAAAGATACTACAAGGCAAGGCAGGGTGTTTGCTTTGGTCCCGGGAGATGTACAAAATGCTGCAACGGTAGTGTCAGGTACATTTATGGTTCATGGTCACTCTGCTTGTGTATTATTTGATTCTGGCTCTATACATTCTTTTGTGTCAAAACTATTTGCTCCTCATTTGGATAAACCTGAAGAAGTCTTGTCGTATATACTATCTGTGTCCTCACCTTTGGGGGATTCTATAATTTGTACTTCCATATATGTCGCTTGCGAACTCCACCTTGGAGATGTTCGGGCATACGCTAACCTGTTACTACTCGACATGACGTATTTTGATATTATTTTGGGAATGGATTGGTTGAGTGAGAACGGTGCAACTATAGACTGTGTGATGAAGCAAATCAGTTTTCACTCTCTGGGACAATCCGAGTCTACATTTCAGGGACAGGAAGTAACTTCTCCACCGTATTTGATCTCTGCAGCGAAAGCTTGTAAATTAATTCAGAAAGGGTGCCAGGGGTACTTATGCAGTGTTTTGGAGGAGCAAGTAGTAAACGGAAATACCGACATGATCCCAGTTGTCTGTGACTTTCCGGACGTCTTTCCAGAAGAATTACCAGGGCAGTTAATAGATCGTGAAATTGAATTCACAATTGAGGTAGCACCGGGAACTCAGCCCATTTCGAAGACTCCGTATAGAATGTCGCCAGTTGAGATGAAGGAATTAAAAATGCAGCTGCAAGATTTACTGGACAAGGGATTCATTCGTCCGAGTGTCTCTCCTTGGGGTGCACCGGTTCTGTTTATGAAAAAGAATGATGGAACACTCTGGCTCTGTATTGATTACAAGGAACTTAATAAGGTGACGATTAAGAATAAGTATCCACTGCCACGGATTGATGATTTATTCGACCAGCTTCAGGGGGCACAAGTCTTTTCCAAAATTGATCTACGGTCCAGATATCATCAATTAAAAGTTAAAGCTGATGACGTTGAGAAGATAGCTTTTCGAACCCAATACGGTCATTACGAGTTTCTGGTTATGCCCTTTGGAGTTACGAATGCCCCAGCAGCCTTTATGGATTTGATGAACCGCGTCTTTAAGCCCTATTTGGATGAATTTGTGGTGGTCTTCATTGACAACATTTTAATCTATTCAGAGAGTGCAAAAGCTCATGAGAATCATCTTCGCTTGATCCTTCAAACCCTCCGGGAAAAGAAACTGTATGCAAAGCTGAAGAAATGTGAATTTTGGCTACTAGAGGTGGCATTTCTGGGGCATGTTATTACAAAGGAAGGGGTTTCTGTTGATCCACACAAAATTGAGGCAATTGTGACTTGGCCGACTCCTACCAATGTGACTAAAGTGCGTAGTTTTATGGGGTTAGCTGGCTATTACAGGAGATTTGTTCAAGATTTTTCCAAAATTGCCGTGCCACTTACACAACTAACTCGAAAGGGAGTTGCATTCGAATGGTCAGAAGAGTGGGAATCTGCTTTCCAGGAATTGAAGACGAAGTTAACCACAGCCCCAGTTCTGGCTTTACCGTCTGGTATCGAAGGGTTCGTAATTTACAGTGATGCGTCCCATAAAGGATTAGGGTGTGTGCTTATGCAAGGTGGAAGGGTTATCGCCTATGCTTCATGACAACTTAAGCCCCATGAAAAGAATTCTCCCACGCATGATCTTGAGCTCGCGGCGGTAGTTTTTGCTTTAAAGATATGGCGGCACTATTTGTATGGCACTACTTGTGAAGTGTACACCGACCATAAAAGTCTCAAATACCTTTTTACCCAGAAGGAATTGAATATGCGGCAGTGTCGATGGTTAGAGTTGATTAAAGACTACAATTTACAGATCCATTATCACCCTGGTAAAGCCAACACAGTTGCAGATGCTCTTAGTTAGAAAAATATGGGACACTTGGCCAACCTGGTTACGGAACAAAAGGAATTGATAAGTGAATTGGATAAAATGGATGTGGAACTTGTGATACATGGACAAGAGGTAGTATTAGCCGCAGTAATGGCTCAACCGACTTTACTTGAAGAGATCAAGTTACATCAAATGAAGGATGATATTCTAAAGAAGGTATGTGATGAGTTAGAGACAAAACCAAAACTGGGGTTCAGTTTAGTGGATTCGGTCCTCAAATTCCAAAATCGAGTATGTGTCCCCGATGTGTTGGAGCTCAAACGGAAATTGATGAAAGAAGCACATGCCTCAAGATTTTCTATGCATCCGGGAAGTACTAAAATGTACCGAGACTTGAAACAAAACTTTTGGTGGCCAAACATGAAAAAGGAGATTGCAGAATTCGTCTCCAAGTGTTTGCAATGTCAGCAAGTGAAAGCGGAGCATCAAAGACCAGCAGGATTATTACAACCCCTTCCAATCCCGGAATGGAAGTGGGAACATCTAACCATGGATTTTGTTGTGGGGTTACCACGGACACCTCGGGGTATGAACTCTATATGGGTCATTGTCGACCGATTAACTAAGTCCGCTCACTTCTTACCTGTGAAGACTCAATATAATGCAGATAAATTGGCAGTAATTTATGTGAACGAAATTGTAAGGCTGCATGGTGTACCTGTCTCAATTGTGTCAGATAGGGATCCGAAGTTTGTTTCCAGATTCTGGAAAAGTTTACAGGAAGCCATGGGTACAGAGTCAAAGTTCAGTACAACTTTCCATCCTCAGACTGACGGTCAATCTGAGAGAACGATACAAACTCTGGAAGACATGCTCTGGATGTGCGTGCTAGATTTTCAAGAAAGTTGGGAAACCCATCTACTGTTGGTAGAATTCGCATACGACAATAGTTACCACTCAAGTATCGAAATGGCACCCTATGAAGCTTTGTATGGAAGACCATGTCGTTCTCCCGTGTGTTGGGCTGAAGTTGGGGAAAAATCCTTACTCGGACCTGAAATTGTTCAGTTGACCACTGAAAAGGTTAAAACTATTCGGGAGCGATTGAAAACTGCTCAAAGTAGGCAGAAGAGTTATGCGGACAACCGACGGAGGGACTTAGAATTTAAAGTGGATGATCATGTCTTTGTGAAGGTCACTCCGATGAAAGGCCACCCAAGGTTTGGAAAAAGAGGTAAGTTGACACCCCGTTATGTTGGTCTCTTCCAAATTCTGGAAAGAGTAGGCCCAGTAGCCTACCGAGTTGCCCTCCCACCAAATATGAGTCAAGTGCATAATGTGTTTCATGTCTCCATGCTTCGCGGATATCTTCCAGATCCGTCACATGTCATTGACTACCATCAAATTGAGTTGGATAACAATCTAATATATGAAGAAAAATCGATCCACGTTTTGGACTGGCAAGTGAAACAATTACGACACCGAGAGATTCCAATGGTAAAAATAGAATGGCAAGAACATTATGGAACTGACGCAACTTGGGAAAGTGAGGAAGAAATGCAACATCAGTATCCGCATTTGTTTCTATCCTAAGGTAAAACAAGTTTGGAGGACCAAACTTATTTAAGGGGGGGACAGTGTAATGACCCGACCCTCGTGCATGTTTTTTTTATATATATTTTCAGACCCTGTTTTGTGCTTTTGAGTGCTTATTGTGAAATCCTTTGAAAAATTATGGTTAAGTAAGAGACTTTCATGTTTAGGGATGTCTATCTGTTAGACAAAGAAAGTATCTGTTAAATCTCTAAGTTAGAAGCAGGAATTGAAAGCCTTAGGAACTTAATTACCAGAAATTGAGTTCATATATGTGATCAGCATAATTTTTAGGTAATATTAAGTGGTTCTATGAAATTTCAATTTCAGATGTTTAAACGATTGATTTTCGTCTTTATTCTATATATATATATATATATGTATGTATGTATGTCTATGAGAAGCATTTGAACTTAAGACTTAGGAATGTCTCATAAAAACCCCTTGGAGACAAGTGAAGGGGAGAGTAGAACAAGGGAGGTTTGAGTGAGAGAAGATCTAGAGGGGAAACTTCAACAAGATTAGAGATTGAAAATCTAGAGAGCATTGGAAAGATCTAAGCTCAGAAGTAAGTTCTTTAGCTTCTCTAACCCCTCTCTTGAATTCGAGTGTGATTCCATCACAATTGTATAACCTAGACTTGGAACATGCTTTTAAATTTGATGATTTTGAACTAAGTTGATTATGCATAGATGTGGAGAAATTGTCATTTATTTCTTACCTTTTCATGAGAATCATGAAGAACTCACTATATATACATATATGTGATGTTGAATGCATAAGAAAATTAAGTTATGTTTGAGAATCAAGGATCTAATTTATGTCTAGTTTGATGTGTATGTATTTGGAGATCCTATTAACATGAGTTTTATGCTATGTTCTATTAATTAAACGTGCTAATTTGAGCTTGATAAAGTGTCCCAAAAGAATGTGATTTTGAAGCAAAATTCGGGTAGAAATTGCAGAATCGCCGCACGTGCGGGAGTCACTGCCGCACGTGCGGGAGCCAATCACCGCACGTGCGGGGGTTGTGGCCGCACATGCGGGAGAAGAACAAAATTGGAGTTTTGATTCTGCCTAAAAGGCACGTTCAAGCCGCACGTGCGAGACCAGCCGTCGCACGTGCGGAGATCCTAGCCGCACATGCGGCACATGTTGAAAAATATGAGTTGCTCAGTTTTGTGTGTAGGACCCTCTAATGTTGTCAAAATGTATGTTTGATGCCTTCTCAATATTGATAAATTCCTTCAAAGGAAAGTGAAATAGAAAGTAATTTGATAAGGGAAATGAGCTAATATGTAAGTTTGAATGCGTTCAGGGCACACTTTGGGAGGAACAAGAACGCCGTTACAACACTGTGAGTAGTAGTACCGTTATATGCTTCAAATGTAGCTAATGATTGTCATAAGTATTATGTTCATGCCTAAAATGCAACTATGTTATGTTTCACAATATGTGAAGAAACAAATGGGAAAGATGAAAAACATTCATTCAGTAAGACTCTGAAACCAAGTTACTCGGTTATTGTAATATGAAACAAAGTGCTACGCGGAACTAAGTGCTATGATGTGAGCCACCTCTAGAGTCCGTGTGAGACACCTCTTGAGTTCATAGAAGCATGTTCGAGGGCTTAATGCCAACTTACTCAAGGGCCTCGTGCCACTATGTTCAAGGGCTTAACGCCACCATGTTTAAGGGCTTTGTGCCATTACGTTTAAGGACTTATAGCCATCATGTTTCAAGATATCATGAGGCAAGCTACCATGTTTCAGGAATGAGCCAAGACCGCCATGAAATTAATACAGATTCAGACCAACTATGTGTGTACCTTTTTATGCTTTAATGTATCTATTACAAGTCAAGCCTTATTTTATCTATGTATTACTATTCACTGAGCTTGGCTCACTCTGTGTTATGTCTGTCTCTGTAGGTAACCAACCCGGTGGTCAGTCCTAGCCCTGACGCCCGTTTTCTTTTGTCAACCTTCGTGGGTCCAGGCACTGTATGAAGCCATTTATTTTTGTAAAGTTTGTTAAGATATTGGCTTACCTTTGATTACCCCTTTAAGGTTGAATGTATAGAACTTCAATGATTTTCGTATAAGCCCATGATGGGGTTGGGACTATATGTATGTTTGCATATAACCGATGCTACGAGATATAGTTTGGAACTTTATCTATTTTCTATGGTGCTTGTGATGCATGTGAGGTCCTGGCATGTAGATGTAGCTCAATGGAGATTATATGTATCGTTATTTTCTTATTATATGCTTCCGATAAGGCCCCGTATGTTATATACAACAGGTTAAATGTTTGTTTTCGAACTGGTCATGCCCAAACTTGTAGGCGCGGGTTCGGGGGTGTGACATTAGTAGTTGATAATTTAAAAAAAAATTAATAACTACGTCACTCGGTATTCTCACTATTGCTATATTGTGATAAATAATAATTCATATATGGATACCACTATTTAAGACTTTGAATCCAATTAATTGATATGTAGTAACTATTAAATATGAAATTAAAAATCTAACTTGCTTGTTCTATGTTTCAGATATTGATGAGTTCAATATTTTAAGTCGTTGCAACATGACATGCATTAATTTACTGGGAAAATAAAATTGGGGTATGGCTTCTGTCCAGTGCGGGATCAGACTGGACCGTGCTGTTGGACCCATGGGGGCCCACCACGGGTCCCGTTTTGATAATCTGAACCGTTGAATATGTAGAAATTGCCGAGTACTATATGCCTGTAAAAAATCACGTTGATCGGATATCGATAGCTATGTGATCAAAACAGTTTTTTGTGAACCGTTAATTTGTTCACCGTCCAATTTTTTGTCAACCGTTAATCACATCAATGAAGTCATAATTCTCTCCCAAGTCAACCTTATGAATGTTGTGAAGCTGCTAGGGTGTTGTATAGAGACACAAGTTCCTTTACTCATCTATGAATTTATTACTAATGGAACTCTTTATCACCACATACACGTTGTAGGCCACAACACGTCCTCAATAACATGGGAGAATTGTTCAAGGACAGCAACGGAAACTACAACAGCCCTTTCATATTTGCACCCTGCCGCTAGTACTCCTATCATTCATGGAGATGTTAAGTCCACTTACATACTCTTTGATGACAATTACATTGGTAAAGTATATGATTTTGGAGCTTCAAGGTTGATTCCCATAGACCAATCTCAGTTAACCACATTGGTTCATGGGACACTTGGTTACTTGGATCTAGTGTACTTCCACACAAGCCAATAGACTGAAAAGAATGATGTTTATAGCTTCGGGGTTGTCCTTGTGGAGCTACTAACCGGAAAGAAGGCACTTTCCTTTGCCAGGCCTGAAGTTGAAAGAAATTTAACCAAGTATTTTGTTTTCTTAATGAAAGAAGATCACTTGTTTGAAATTGTTGATGAACAGGTAATGAATGAAGTGAAGGTTGACCAGCTAAAGAAAGTTTCTATTTTAGCAAAGAGATGCTTAAGACTGAAAGGCAATGAATGGCCAACTATGAAGGAAGTGGTAATGGAGCTGGAGGGATTAAGAATGATGGAGAAACATCCATGGGTTGATGATAACAAAAACTTAGAAGAGACTCAATACTTGCTTGGAGACCAACTTTCAGATACTTACGGTGGTGGCACTAGTGTGAGCAATTCAAGAACTTGACAGTATGACAAACCATGCCATTTTACCATTTGATGATAGACGATAAGCTGTTAGTTAGGCTGGTCTACATTAGATGTTCTGTCGTAATGTTTTCATTTTAGCTTTGTTAAATAATTATTGTGAACTGTTTTGAATCCTCTGATTAGATATATTGAGGTTTAAATAATAATTCATCCGAAATACATACATGTAGTCTCTTGTTCTATGTATACTGAGTAATCATCAGTCATTCCTTTGCATATGAATGATTTTTGTTATGTCAAAATTTCTTTAGAGGGTGTATAATATGTGGTAAACTTGGTAATTCAGGGAAATAACTATCCTCGAAAGGTGGGAGAGCTAATAAAAAACATCATGGAACGAATAAAATTTGAGACATTGACATGAGAAATTCAGAGACAATTCATGTCGTCATTAGAATTGCTCTCAAGACTCGTTTAATAGACAAGACAGACACACATATCCATCCAAACCAAACCCAACTAGATTCCAAACTCAATACTTTGACTCTACATATTCCATCAAATGAATCAGTTAGGCTATTGTAGCTGCAATGAAAGGACAAATCCTAATTGTAGTTTAATTTTATTTTATTTTCATAATCATACTATTCATCTTTATAATTTTTGTAAAATTTCACTTTAGGTTTCGTAATTTCAATATTAACAATTTAAATTTCATATTTTCATTTTTGTTTCAATATAATCCTGCCATCATTTGTTGTTGCTATTTTTAATAGAAAAAACCAATATGTGCAACTCATATAAGCATCTTAGCAAATTCCTGCTCACAAATTAAGAAAGTTCAAGGTGAATGTCATGCAGAGCAGAAGGAAAATATAGTGAAGTTCAAAGAAAAGTGGCTATCTTGTGAAGGAACTAGGAAGTACCTTGCAAAAATTATTTGACGCTTAATTTTAGTGGTGATAGCAACCCTAGTTCTTGAAATGGGAAGACGTGAGCAGTACTTTGACAAGACTGTCGTCGGGGACGGAACCAAAAATTATGTCTAGGGGGTCAAGATGTATGCATAAAAAAATGAGTTAGTTTTGATACGTTAATAACAAAATATATTTCTTACACATGGGATGCAAAAACATTTAACAAATCATTATTTTTTCATTTTTTTTTTTTTATGATAACTCAAGGTGTCCAACCAGCTTGCGCGCACCTCATTATTTGATGTATGTATACTTTGAAGTGTTGAACTATTAATTAGATCTATTTTGTTAGTTGACATAATTTAATAAATAAAAAGTATACATACATCTTTGCTTTTCAAAATAAAAAAGAAGTGACATGTGTCTCTTGTATAATAAAATTGATTATATTATGTGAAATTGTGGGAGATTATCTTACTATACATTGTGAAAAATAATAAAATAATAGAAACTTCATAAGGTAATTTGCATGAAATTATCGGACAATCCCATTATACATTCTATAAATATTAATGAAATATAGGACTATTAATGTAATTTTCAAAAACGTTGGGGGGCCTATTGCATCCCCACTCCCCAATTGGATCCCCTATTCATGTCGCTTTTTGAATTAGAAAGCTTGTTATTAGTGATTGTTGTGAGAACCAAACTAGTCAATAGAGACATTTAGGTGCCAATAAATTTTTATATTTAAGTTAATGAAATAATATTGACATGTACTACTTTAAATTTTACTATTCTACTAACTTTACAGCATGGTAACCACAAAAAATAAATATAAAAAAATAAAATAGAAAGTTGCTTAATCAAAGCATAAAAAATCATTTCCAAACTAAGAAGAGTAAGGAAAGTGAAAGAAATTCTGGATATAGAAACCTATATATATATTTGTGCTCATTTAATTTCCCATAACTTCGAAACCACTACAGGAAATATCAGTTTTAACGACGTTTATTTAGCGACGTTTTATTAAACGCCACCATTTATAATATTTAATGGCGTTTTTTAAACGTCACTTTTTTTTTTTAAATTAAAACGACAACGTTTCAAAAACAGAAGACGCTTGAAAGCGCCTTCAAATGTCTCTCTCTCTCCCTCTTAAATGGGTTAGCTGGTGAATACTGAGGGAAATCAAATATATAATACATTTTGTAGCCCTAATCTCTTACTCACCCACTCAGTCTCTCGTTCTCTCTCTCTCTCTCTCCCTCTCTCTCTCTCTGTGTGTGTAAACCCTCTCAACGGATCGATTCATCTCTTGCTGATTCATCTCAAAATGATACAATCTAGATGATTCATCTTGGCGATTTCGATTTTGATTTCGACGTTCTCTCTCTCGATTTCGATTTCGAAATTTATGTTTCGGTGATTCTTTCTCTCAATTTCGAAGCCTATTTTGAATCTGAGAACAATTGTTAAAGCCATTGTAAACCCTTATTTAGAATCCTCATGCCTTCAAATCTCACCTCTCACTCAACCCTCTCTAAACCCTTATCATTCTCACAGATTCATCTTTGAGATTCAGAGCCGTTTCGATTTCGAAGTTCCACCGTCACCACCGTCTGCACCGTTCTCACAGCACTGCCAGCCTTGCCTGCGAGAGAGAAAACCTTCGTGCGACGCCATCTCGGAGGCTTTCCTTTGCTCATCTCATCTCTCCGGTGACAAGATCTCGCCAAAATCGGCCTCTCCACAGTGGCGTTCTGAGGCTTCTTCCGGCGACAAGACTCCATTCATTGTCTCTCCCAGGGCCATCTATGATTCACAGAATTCGCAGACTTGTCTCGATCCTGATGCAAGTAGAGTTAGTTCCTTCTCCTTCTTTTCTGTATTCGTTTAAAAAATGTTGGATTGTGTGATATTTCGATACATGTATCATATACATACACGCATGTATAGTTAAATTACCAAAGCGCAAAGAACTGTGTAAGAGCATGGAGCAAAATTGAAACAACAATTTGATCTAAAACTGTTGATGAAATTGGAACCGATTTGACTGTGTTGTCACTAGTTATAGATCCACGATACTATTTCTCTCTTGGAGCAAACTACAATCTCTTTTAGATTAATCGTTTTGTTACTAAACTTTTTTAGTGAATGTAACAGTATATTCTTACAGAGTGTTCTGGGAATTATACTTGGGGGTGGAGCTGGGACTCGCCTTTACCCTCTTACAAAGAAGAGAGCAAAACTAGTTGTTCCTTTAGGAGCAAATTATCGCCTGATTGACATTCCGGTCAGGAATTGCCTGAACAGAAACATATCAAAGATCTATGTTCTTACACAATTCAATTCTGCATCTCTAAATCGTCACCTTTCATGGGCATACGCAAGTAACATGGGTGGCTACAAGAATGAAGGTTTTGTTGAAGTTCTTGCTGCTCAGCAAAGCCCAGAGAACCCCAATTGGTTCCAGGTAGTATAAAATCTGAACTCTAAACCATGAAAAGAGTAATCTGCCCCAGATTTCTAATGTACCTCATTATAAGTTGTGGTTTGATGCAAATAGCTGCTATTAGTGCATCACTTACAAACCAATTTTGTTTTGCTTAATGCCTCATTTTCCCTTCACTTCAGCGTTTGCTAGACACCCTGTATTGATTTGTATTTTTATTGGTTAGTAGGGTACAGCTAATGCTGTGAGACAGTATTTGTGGCTATTTGAGGAACACAATGTTCTAGAATTCTTGATTCTTGCTGGGGACCAAAATTTCGGCTCTAGTATCCCTAATTGGTTTGTACTACTTCATTTGTATTATGTTAATCTGAAATCTGAATTTGATTACTTTTTAAATACACATAAGGGACTCTCTTTTTTACTTGCAACATATATTATATATTCCTAATATTGGTTATTGCAAGCTAGTATTATTTTCATTAGTGATTTTGTATTGTAAAACGAATCTTTTTTTCTTCTTCTTCTTTTCAAACAATAATAAAATAAAATAAGACAAGCTTGATTTTAGTGCTTCTCCAATATCAATAGTTATATTTTGCTGGGACCAGTAACAATATATTCCCTAATTTAGTTGTTTTTTTTTTTTAGTCTTAGATGATTGATTGAAGTAATTAATTGGAACATTAAACTGCAGACCCTAGAATTCAGCAATTAAAACAACGTCGTGGTCAACAGGTTAACATTACTGAATAGTCAGATGTTTCACATTGTGATCAATAGCTGCAACAATGTTAAGTTACAAGGAGTCACTACAAGAAAAGTAAGATCATTTGGGTTTGTCTGCTGTGTATAATTAGTGAATAGAGACTAACTAGTTACTTCTTGGATGCCTATTGTACTTTCAATTGTGCCTGACTTCAACATAATTTCTCCCCTTGTGACAGTAGCATCATTTAATTGAGCATTTAAAATCTTGTCCATTGTCAATGCATTTCACCTCCGGATTAACTAATTAATAACCTTCAAGTATATATAAAATTTATTTATTTAATTTTGAATTTTTTTTAAATATGTTCAATTATTTTAAACCTATGTAAATTAATCTCATGATATATAATAGTCTTCTCTTATTTATTTATTTATTTTTCTTCCTTTTTTGTATTAGCAAAATCATAAATGCAAATATATATCATATATCATATAATCCAATCCTTTATCCCATTTAATCCCATGATATAACTTATCCCTCACAATCTTATTAATAATCCCATAGTGTCTAACACCACAAAAAATAATCCAGCAATCAAATGTGGCCTTGGGGAACATTGCCCTCCATTCAGGATTAGTTAAGCCCCTGTATAATATCTCTTTAATGTTTGCAAGACCAATTGTGTTGTTTGACCATGTAAAAGGATTATTAAGGAAACCTATGTCAATCAGACAAATACCCTCTACAGCACAACTCCAAAACCCCCCGTGAAGATTCTGCAAAAGACTTTCCTTGTTTCTTGCACTAAGCGGTCACATTGTTGAAATGTTCTATAACTATAGCTGGGCCTTGAAATGTATTAGAAATGTATTCCATTGATCCCACAAGTTGTGCTGTAAGTAAAGAGCTGAAGAGCAGGGGCATATATGATGCAATCCATTGGATTGCTGCCA